TGGTTCATAGTTCAGGGAGATTTACATTCGGTTCCTTTTAGAGAATATAAAGGTGGTTGTTACATAACAGGGAGTAGACTAGGAGAAATGTCGGTATAATTTCAGCATTTGAAACTACAATTTAAAGACTTAAACTGAGTGTTCTGGACCTGCAACTTCCACCCACTGACTCAGGGGTCAGTGAGTGGGTTTGGACAGAAGTTCTGGGAACAGCACAGCAGAAGGACCCACTGGTGCCTTGATGCTTCTCACTCCACAAATAGGTGATGGGTCAGCCCATTTCTTTGCTCAGATATCTGTGGGTACACGAGAGGAGGCATCATCCACTCAGGATTTGGTATCAGCAACATAACATAACCCGTCTTTTACATGAGCATTTCCTTCTCAGAATAAACCTTTTTCTACAGAGCACGGGCTGGGAAATGGCCGTTGGCTTTGCAGTTCTATTTCGTAACTCAGTGTGCGGCGTGGGAGCATTGGCAGTCAGGCTGTCCTTGGATCTGGTCTCCTCTCCTTGAGACGCCAAGAGGAGGCTCCCAGGCTGCTGCCCTCAGGCACTCAGGGAAGAGGGGGCCAGAGGGTGTGATTGCTGGATTTGTGTAAAGCTGATCAATGGGGCCTTGCGTACGTCTGGCCACCAGCCACGTGGGTGGACTCGGGCTGGTTATTAACACATGTAAACTCCCGTTTTCTCATTTGTAATAATTATCCCTACCTCACAAGATTGCTGTGGGGATGAAAATGAATGAAGGTATGAAAGCTCTTAAAACAGTGTGGGCACTTAGCAAGTGCTCAGTGAACGTTGGTTTGTTGTAATCACCACCACCATCACCATCACCATCATTATCACCATCGTCATCATAATTATCACCACCATCACCGCTATTATTATGATTTCCATGATGTATCACCTGGCTTGGTAGTAGGCACAGAGAGGTTTAATCAACTATGACTATCTTCAATTAAAGAAAGAATGGTTGCCTGAGGACATAATGAAAGAAATATCAGTACTATTATTAGGTGCTATTATCATTCCTATTTCACAGGCAAGGAAGCTGAAGCACAGAGAGAAACCTGCCCGGCATCACAAAGAGGGGTCAGGATTCAAAGTCAGTAAATTTCAATCAAGCTCTTAACCCTGGAAAAATCTGAGCCCTGGAAGGAGGATGGCTCTGTAGGACGGCTGCACGGGGAGACTCAAGCCCCAGTTAGATGCTTCAACTATTTCAACCAAATTGAAAGTCTATGATTTTATGGAAACTGTTTATTCAGGTAGCCAACTGCAAAATAGAGCGTGAACGGGGTCAAATATTTTGAAACATGTTCCTAGATTAGTAAACAAAGACTGGGATGCCCTGGGGAGAGATATTTGACTATTAAAAAATCGTCAGTGGGATTCAGTTTTCAACATGGAAGCGGCGTGGGAGGCTAGGCCAAGGCCCCTCCCATCTAAGCTGCTCATAACGCAGCTCCCAGGACACACACAAGACTGACTGCTGCATTTCTAATGCTTGTCTACATGTTTCTCATTTGATTCTTCTCTTATTGGAGCCTTGAGAGATGTGACCAGCTGAAGCTTCCTTTAGGGCAGCAAACCCCAGGAAAAAGATAAAGCAATTCTCAGGTGTGATTCAAGATAAACCTCCTTCCCCTTCATTATAAAATACTTATCTCTCTTTATCTCCAAGTGAGCAGCGTTATTTCAATTTAACAGCGTGTGAGAAATGTACCACAATATAATAAAAGGACCAAGGATGCGCTACTTAATGTCAGAATGACAGATGCTTCAATTAGGCAGACAGGACTATTTCTCCCCAAAATAGATAAAGATGAAATTTTTATAAGATTGCGCTGCTTGTGTTTATATACAGTACTGTTACAAGCTTTCATTACAAGGTAAATTAAAATAAAAACTCCTCTTTCAACGGAAGCTGACCATCTTGCTAATAATTTTGTGACTCATAATCACAGTTCGTCAAAGTTTCTGGTCTGCTCACGTGGAAGGAGCAGTGTTTGAGGACGGGAGACGTCCTCCAGGTAAGAAATCTCACCCTGACATTTCTAGATCTTTTCCCAAGAACACTAGGAAGGTGTGATTTGAAGTTACCATTTGGCTGAAGCTTGCGGAGATATTTTTTGACGTGTGAAATTTTCTTTTCTGCTTGGTCTGGGTTTAAAGTCGTTGGACAGTTAATGGCCAGGGTGGGGTCTGCTTCAGGATTTTGCTGCTCGTCTTTCTCTCTCCCTTGGCAGATGTAATCCGCAGCAGATCTGCTCCTCACCATGCCTGGGACCTGGAGACTATTAGGTAGGGCAGTGGAGGGCCACACTGTGGCTTCTGACCCATTGTTGCCATTTCCTTAATTGTCATCATTACAAATGAAACAGTATTACCAGTAGCAGCCATGCTTTCAGTTTCTAAAGCTTTCTTTCCAATGACTCCTCTGTTCTTCATTTTAGGGTTTTCCGTTCCCCAAACATTATGAGAGCACGTTATTTTATATAATTGGAAAAATACATCAGCTGTGTGAATACATTCGGAATTCTACAAACAAAATGCCGGGTTCCAGGGAAACGGTGGCCTGAGATAACGTGGAGCTCCTCCTCCTAAAACATAAATGAGCATCAGAAGAAATGTGAACACTTGATAAAATATACAGAGGGGTTCACCAGAATAAAAAGGAAGGTCTTGGGCCAGAAGATAACGTGGGACAGTAAGCATGTGAGCTGTAGGTGTCTTCCGCAGAGCTGTGAGTCTGGAAAGAGAGCTGAGCGCCAGAGTCTTTGGCTGTAATGTTTGTGCAGGGAAGGGTGTGAGGTCTCAAGCCCAGCTGGCTGGGTGATTGGGGCTTTGACCTTTGCCCAGAACAAGAACCACTGGGACAGGTGGCCTAACTGGCCACAGGAGGAAGTGAAACTCAGCCCAGGTAGACTGGGGTGGGGCTGATTGGAAAATTGAAACTCCAAGCCTGTTCCTCCAAGGAATTTGGAGTCCAAATTTTTATTGCTAACATGATCTTTCATACTTTTTAAAATATAAATTTATTTACAGCAGAGATTATATACTCCATGGGAAACGTATGAGCCCTGGATTCTGGAAGTTTCCCTTTAGAGTTTTGTTTTGGGGCATTTGTTTCTGTCATGACCAGAAGGGCAGCCCCATGTGGGACAACTGCCTCAGCTTGGGTCATACCAGCTTCCTCTGGGTCCTCCCCTGGACTCTGGTCCTCTGGACCACAGTCCCCTGGAGTCTGGTGTAAACTCAGCTTCCTGGAAGGGCAAGGGCCACCCCGGGTTCTGGTGTGGTGCCCAGCCCAGCACCTGACACTCAATACCTGTCACAGGTGTTGGATGAATGCTGTTGAGTGAGAGGATGAAGGCGTCACCGGGGTTCCACTTCTGGGACTCTGTGTCAAGGCTTAAACAGAAATTCACTTTTACTGGGGGAAAACGACTTGAAGAAACAAACAAAAGTGGAGAATATCTTTCATTCAGTTAACATTTTTAAAAAATGAATACCCATTTTAAGACATTTCGCTCTGTGATGTGAGTCTGCCTCCTTCTCCTCTGTGTGTGGCTGCAGCATCCTGACACGGAAGGCGGGACCGATGCTCTTAAACAAAGGATCTTTAATAAAGAAGATTTATCATTCTGAAGGCTTCTGTTCCGACTGTCGGGCCTAAGGTGGAGGAGAGAGGGAGAGGTGGTTTGGGGTTTCTAAAGCTCTTGTGTCACAGGAGATACAAAGAGATAATTAGAACTTTGGGTGAGAAGGTACTAGAGATGCAGAGGAAGGAAGGGGAGAATGAGCCAGGAGAAGATGGGGTGCCTTTAGCCCTTGATGTCACATTATGTTCCTTCCTATGTCCTCCACCTGCCTCTTTTTTTTTTTTTTTTTTTTTGCGGTTCGCGGGCCTCTCACTGTTGCGGCCTCTCCCGTTGTGGAGCACAGGCTCCGGATGCGCAGGCTCAGCGACCATGGCTCACGGGCCCAGCCGCTCCGCGGCATGTGGGATCTTCCCGGACCGGGGCACGAACCCGTGTTCCCTGCATCGGCAGGCGGACTCTCAACCACTGCGCCACCAGGGAAGCCCTCTGCCTGCCTCTTGTTTGTAGAAAACTTTATCCTCCTAGGCCTTCCCTGAGTTCCAAAGAGCAAATTTAATGAGAGAAGTGAGAAAATGCAGAAACGAAGGAAAACAGTCAAGCAAGACAAAATAATAATAGTTAAACCATAAAACAAAGTCAAGGACCTTCAGTTCCTCCTCAAGGGCAAAAGATAATATTCTGAGCCGTGACTTTGAGCTGTTGTACAGATATTGGAACCCCACCACCCCACTAGGTGGAGGAAGTTAACTGCATGCTGCCCACCGGCACGTAGACCCCAGACCAGATGGAACCAGAGGGTGGATGATGTTGACTCCCGATTACCTCACCACCGACCAGTTGGAACAATGTCCATGAGCTGCTCAGGCACCTCGTGACCCTTGCTCTAGTGTTGCCTTTAAAAACCCTTCCCTGAAAGCCATTAGGGAGTTTGGGTCTTTTGCGCATGAGCTGCCCACTCTCCTTGCTGGGACCCACATTGGGTGCCTTGCGATAAACACTGTACTTTCCCTCACCACAACCCAGTGTCAGTAGGTTGGCTTTGCTGTGTGCAGGTGAGCGGACCCAAGTTTGCTTCAGTGACACTGTTGTACCCTGAATGGATGGAGGACAGGGACCAGTGGAAGGGGGTACCAGTATTTGTGGATACTTTGATCTGATGTAACCCACATAAGCTGAGCCAGACCAGTTGCACCTTAAAGCCACCTTTGCATTCAAAGAAATACCAGTCTGAGCACGCAAAGTGATTACCTAAGTATTTCAAAGGATAGCAGAGCAAAAAACTTCTTAAAAACGGTACCTCTTTCTTGCTGGTTTCTCACACATGCAAAGGCTGCCACCATCAGCTTTTCTTTTTCTTCTCTCTTAACTACACCAACCTCTCCCCCACAAAGGCAGTGCAGCACTGTCCCTGGTACGAGGTTTACTGACGTGGCTTGAACTTAAAATACAGAGATCGCTCCAGGAGAAGGAGCAGTGAATCGGGAATCTGATTCGACTCCAAGTCTTCTAAGGAGGACTGGGGACTCGCCTGAGGTCACTTAGCTAGAAAGAGGCAGGACCAAGACCTATTCTCTCCCTTTGGCAGGAAAAAAGCAGCATCTTCTCTGTATAGTACCCCAGGTTGGGGAGGGTGAGGTCAATAACCCATGCGGGGAGCTCGGGCTGGGGTTACAGGGACTGAGCTCTACCTAACTGGGTGTGTGTTTGCCTGTGTGTTCAGGGTGAGACCTGGGAGTGACAACTCTGCTCTGGGATGCAGGGGAAGAGCATCACCTAGTCCTGTTTCCCCCCACCCCTGTCCTTCCCCTTCACCCAGTGTTGCCAGAGATATTGGTCTTGTGACCTGCGGTGGTCTGGTGCTGATGGAGCCTGGGGACATGGTATCCGTTATCCCATAAGCACTTCTCCCAGTAACAGGTGTAGTGGGATGTGTGTCTCCTTCAGTCACACCAGGCTCCAGATTTGCACAGAGCTGAGAGGAGGTGGCTGGCATGAGCAGATGAGGAAATGGGAGACCCAGCCTTCAAGCAGCAGCGTGGCGCAGGGTGCAGATGACGGACAGCCGGGAGGGCTGCAGGCAGATGAAGATCCAAACTGAGTTTTGCCCCAGGGGCAAGGCCCTTGGCAGAGGGCTCTCCTGGGTCTGGGATCTAGCACTGGTGGCCGATGGCTGAGTGACTTTTAAGGCCGAGTCCATCGCACTAAGTGCCGCACACAACCCGCATCCCAGGACAGTCTGGTCAGGAGCGAGGTGGTGGTCCTTGCTGAGTAGACTTCCAGAACCTACACCTCTGTTGTGCCCCCGTAAAGTACGAGGAAGTCTGGCCTCGTAACAGACCAAGGCCTCACAGGGCGACCGGGAGGGTCCCAAGATCCCAGGACCAGGAGCCTCCCAGGCCCATCCTCGAAACAGCTTTTCACTGTAGCCAGTGATGTAAACTGCAATTTGTCTGCAAAGATGTTGTTTAGAAGCGTTTCCAAACGTCTGTGGCTGCTCTCATTAAACTATGTTTGCCTACGAATCAAAACTAACGGTATTCTATTTAATTTTCCTCTCAAATAGCATGATGCTTAATGTAAACCAATTACTACAATTTTGCTTTCTAAGAAATCAGGAAATGTAATCACGGAGATGCAATTTGTTCGCTTTTCATGAAATATTACAGCGTGGCAGCGACAGGAGGTGGCCTTCGGAGGGATCAGAACGTGTGTGTGTGTGTGTGTGTGTGTGTGTGTGTGTGGTGACGGGGTAGTCATGTGTGTGTTGTGCCTGTGTGTTTGTGCGTGCGTGAGATGCATGTCTCTGTGTGGGATGTATGTGTGTCTGCGTGTGTGATGTGTGTATTTACCCAGAAAGCCACACATAGACCTGAGCCAGAGGAAAGGCCAGGGTGTGGGTGAAAGCTTACACAAACACGGAAGTGTTAAGTATTTCACAAAAGGCTGATCCAACAGACCTTAATTCAGAGACCTGTAGGGCTTAGGGAAGGTACGTGACCACAGATGTGCTTCTGCCTAATTGCCAGCCCATAAAGGTTGAGAGGGCATAATAACAGGCATTTTATTTTAAATTTCCTTTTTTATTTTAAATGATAATTATACTTCCCAGGGAAAGAGGTGAGCGCCCTACCTGCAGCAGTGGCCTGAGAGCAGAGGAAGAGCCATGCTGAGCCTGCAGAGAGGAGAAGTCTCCCTCCCCGGGAGACCCCACAGGTCAGAGGAGCCCCAAACCCACCCTCTGCCCCCACCCTCAGGGCCCTGCTGGGACCCTGTGACGCTAGTGAAAAACTGTCCTTCTCAGCAAACTGTGCTCCCCACACCTGGGCCCTGTGGCTCCAACTGTCCTTCTGAGAGAAGTGAGCCCCTCCCCACGATGGGCAGTGATGAGGTCCTGGGGAGGCTTTGGAGATGCTCTGTGGCTTCACCTGGAGAGCTCTCTCTTAGGGCCAGGGGTGGTGGCTGATAAGCAGTTCTCCCCTTGGTCCTCCAGCCTCAGGCTCTGACCAGGGAGTGAATGCTCTCTGATCTCTTTCCTTTTCTTCCAAAATCCCTAGAGACTCCCATGCAGGCACCAGGCAAGGGGGGCTTAGAGACCAGCTGAGCAGAGGCAGCCAGAAGCCGGTCACAGGGGTTTGGACCAAGCAGGCGTCTGGTGCTCTGCAGACATTGGGTCCCCTCTGAGGAGGTCACAGCTGCTGTTCCCCAGAGGGCAGGGTGCGCGGGGTTGGGGGGGGCATTGTGGGTAGCGGCAGGGGAAGGGCTTCATTTTTTCTCATGGAAGTGAAATTCGTGTAACACATAATCCAGGGCGTTTAGCACACTCGTGATGTTATGTAACCACCAGCTTTCTCCAGCTTAAAGCTTTTTCATCACCCAGAAGACACCTGTACCATGAACTCCTTAACTCTTTAGGGCCCAGATTCCTTCCTTTAAAACCCATGTTGCCTGAAGTTTCCTCCATAATTTCCATCATAAAGGCCTTGACACCCGGCCTGGCGTCTTGCTCCACATTCACATCTTAGAAGCCTCACAGCCAGTTTGGGGAATTTTTGCTCACAGTCTGGAACATCCCTGGCATGTGCTGTCCCGGCTGCAGGTTGGCTGTGCCGGGGGGCAGGCGGGCGCCCACGGGTCAGCTGGTGAGCCGGGGGCGGGGCCGAGACCCAGGGCAAGCGGGCAGGGCAGGGCCTCCTTGGCAAGGCAGGTGGCTTCTCCGAGCACATCAGAAAATGGGCACAACAGTTCTTCTCCAGGGTGGTTCTATGAGCGCTGGAAACTGCCAGGAACACGCCAGGAGATGCCTGAGGTCTGGCTGCTGTGCTGCGGATTCGGTGACAAAATGCCTGGGGACGCCTAGTTCACGTGAGTGACCGGTAAGTGTTAGTCTCCCTCTTCCCTGCTGGGGGTCGGGCGGGGGGCAGCGTGGGGCTGGGGCTTCACTTCTCGGTCTGGGCCATCAGATGGGAGCGTAGGAGCCTCTGCCTGGAGCCAGGTCTGGGCCCCTCACACACAATTCTCCGGGTGTTTACCAGAGGACATTGGTGTCCAGGGCTGCGCTCAGCTCCCTCCAGGCCCTGGTGTCTCCACACTTCCTGTCTTATCACCTGTGACATTTTTCAGAACGGATTTTCTATGTGGTGTGATTCCTCCTTCAAGTCAAGAGACCCCGGCATGGCTGCCCTGGTGACAAGCCCCTTTTCCAGATTACACGGGCTTGACCCCACGCTGGGGGACCGGTGGCGAGGGAGGCCTGGACGGGCCAGGTGTCCTGCACAGGGAAGGAGGCTGAGATTTTCCTGAGTGGGACCGAGAGTAAGGGACCCACGGACGAGGGGCAGAGGGGCTCCAGTGTCCCTACCCTGACCCCTGCTGTCACCACGGCAGTGCAGGGGGGCGTCCATTCTGACAGGCCTTCCCTTTTCTCCCATCCTGAGAGCTGCCCCAGAACCCTCCCTACGGGGGCCAGAGAGAACTGCCCCTCCCCACCAGGTCCTTCTGCAAAGGGGGGCAGGCGTCTTGCACACTCTTCCCCCAGGGAGATGTCAGTAGAAGGTATGATGGAGGACCCTCTCTGGGGCTGGGGAGGCAGGCTTGGGGACCGGGCTGCAGAGGAATCACTGGGAATGATCCAGAAGGAAGGGAAGTCACTGCCCACTGCCTGCACCCTTTCTTGGTGTGGCTTTGCTGTTTCTTTTGCCCTCTCAGCATCAACATTGGGTAACCTGACGTCCCCCCAGAGATTCCCACTGTGGCTCTGGCTGGTGTGTTGGCGTGGTCCCCACCTCCACTCCCAACCTCGGCCACCCACAGATGCTCGTGGGGGCTCGGAGGGAGGTTGGAGCACCTGACAGGCTGGCGGAACGCCCAGGACAGAAAAGGTGCCACGTCCCCAGGAACGCTGACTGAGGAGCCCTGGGCAGAAGCCGTTCTGGGTGACCAGAGGAGGTGGGACCAGACGGCCGGTGGCCCCAGGGTCCGAGGTCAGGGGCCAGGGTTTCCTTCTGTATCAAATGTGTCAGGATCTTACCTTCCCAGCTTCGGCACAACAGAAAAACAAGCACACAGACCAAATCTTCTCGTTTAAGAGGAAAACACTGAATGAAACCATTTTATCTTAGTTTTAAGAAGGCAAATCTCACCTGATGGGTTCTGTCATTACAGATGTCATGCCTCCCAGCAGGCGTGGCCTCAAGTTCAGCCACTGTCATTTGGGAAAAGCCATGGGGCAAACATGGGGGCCACCGTCTGTTGTCTGGTCGCCCAGTGTCTCATTCGATGAGAATGTCTGAACTTCCGTCACAGGTTAAACTTGACACGCAATCAAACTCAATCTTTAAATCCACAAACTCAGGAGGAAGATGACACGAGATCACTCTGGGTGCCCGTGATGGCCGTGTGGTGCCCATTTTACGGGACACATGTATCTATCTTTAGAATATTTATATTCCATCAATCTGTGGCCTCATTTCATTCCTCATGTACTGAACAGTTTCTCTAGCATTTGCTGAAAAGAATCTCCTGCAGGTTCCCTGAACCTGCACCGTGACGGCAGCGTGAGCGCATCTCGGGCAGAATCGGGTGGGCTTTTCGGGGGTGGGTCTCTGTTAATTCAGAAGCCTAGGGTCGCGTGACTCCGGGGCTGCTTCTGGGGGAGCTGAGGTTTTGGGAACCAGAGCATCAGCGGGAGCCTCCCCTGGGCTGCAGAGGCCACAGCAGCACTCAGACAGAACCCAGGGGTTTCAAGCACCCACGGCAATAGGTCCACTTGAGGTGGCCACCTGCATCCTGGCCTCTGAGTGGGCGAAGAGCTGGGGAACGGCTCCCTGACTCCGACCAGCACTGATGTCACCATGGTCCCATGTCTGCCAATGGCTCCTTCATCTCCCTGAGAGGCAGCTCAGCT